ATACGTCAGTATCATGTACTAAAATTGGCGCCGTAACCTTGAAATTCCTCAAACGCTACTGATTAAGTCGTCCATAAAAATAAAGTCTCGCCGAAAATCCTAAAAAAATTCAATTTTTCAACAATCGAAAATTTCTTGTGTTGGAGACGTTAGATCCCCAGAAATCACTTACGAAAGGACCTAATTTTGTAATTTTATTTGGAAAATTTGAATTTCTTTGTTTTCGCGCCAAAGGAATTCTTGTCACCATCATGTTGTATTTCCCACTGGGAAATATCTTAAATGCTATTGGTCCGTTGAGTCTTTCAGTATGCTATTTGGTAACTCTCCACAAGGACGGTTTTGCACTGAATATATACGTTTTGAATTGTGTTTGTTGTTATCGCTCGTTTCTGGCTGTCTGCAGAATATACTTCCCATTCCGAGTTTGGACTTCTCCCTCTAGTTAGCGGGGCTGAGACGCATCAATAGCTAGTTTACTGGTCTTTGGTCACTGAGTCTTGTTCTCGTTCGCCGATTAAGTGAACTCGTGATAGATTCAAACCTAGCATGTTGACAGTTAGAAATTATTGACGACCCCGACTGGGGGTCAAATCTAAAATCTCAGGTCTTTCAACGAACGTTTAACCTCAAGCCAATGAGTATTATTCACACCACGTTAAATTTAATAAGGAAAACTTTAATTTTTTAAAAGTCTGACCTATAAAGAAGAAATGGGTTTATTTTTACGGGGAAAAAATACAGCTAAGTGACAGTCGTCGACTAAAAGCGTTCACATAAAAAGTCACGTCTTGTTAATAGAAGACCAACAGGTGTTTTAAATACATATATCTATAGACAGAAACTACTGTTTTCTGATTATTATTATTATTTGCATTGTAATTGAATTAAGTCTTTGAAACATCTCCACCCCCGTACTATACAAGAGAAATTATATAGTCTAAGGTTGGCAAAGCAACAAACACATATATGAGCTATATGGAAACGTACAGATGTTCATTCAGTTTTGTTAATTATAAAAAAATCTTCATGCATCTCTCTCTCTCTCTCTTTCTCTCTGTCACCTTGAAGAAGCAAATATGCTGATTTAAATATTAACCTGTGTAAGAATACAGTTAAGTTTAAACGTTGATGCCAACCAATGGTTAGATCTGTAAAGTAACAAGAATTATATCAAGTCTGAAATATACAACATTAACATTAGTAAATATGATTTAAGTTTGAACAACAAGCATTTTATGAAATTAAACTTAATTTAGGGCAAAAGTATCTGGGAAATTCTATTCTCTATTAACAAACAGTCTCCTTGTCGATAAATTCGAACTAGCAAACAACTCAAATTCATGTTTTCTTGCCGATTACTTCTAACCATCTAGCACAGTCAATATTTCATACACATAGTTCCCTTTATCATTTTGAAAAGAGAAAAAACAAAGATTCTACCAGAATAGCATGAATTCATTTCGCAGCTGATGAGAACAGTCAATATTAATAACATTGAGTTAAACTGAAAGAATCAATGGGTAGTAGGATTAATGAAATAGGAAATGAAGTCATGGAAATAGGACTTTTGTTATTAGTAATCATTTATATTTTATCGATTTATTACTTTAAACTCATCATTTTCAATCACTGATTTATATTAACTTGGTATTGTTTGGCTTATATCTTCCCGTTGAGGTTTAAGACTGCAATTGATCAGTCTATTATTGGCATATTTGCATACTGTGCGTATGCCTTGATATTACCTTAATTCACAAGCTTTTTGTAAGCAATGATGGATAGTGGCTAGCAGTGGAATCCAGTTTGACGCGCGTTCCGTCCTATTTGATTTATATGTTCAAAATTTACTGCATAAACCTCATTTCTTGTAATAGGACGGACCTCTAGTTATGTGTGATTAAAAATGTTAATACATTAAATAATTTTTTATCATCAATGTACAGTAAGCTACTATTTTGAAAATGTTTCTGTTAATAAAGAATAATTGAAACCTGAAAAACAGATACCGATATTTGATTCCAAGTGCATATAAGTTATAAATCCCAAATAGGATGAATTGTTAGTCTTAAATTTGACTACGGATCAATACTCAAATGAGGATTGGAATTTAACGATTCAGTTCATGTGTCGATCTAAGCTAAACCGACATTGAAAACCTGTGTGCACTAGATGACTATTTCGTCTTAGTATGGACTCCTCAGCAGTGCGCATCCACAATCCCACACGTGGAACTCAAATCCAGGACTTTAGGTCTCACGCTCGAACTCTTAACCTTTAAACCACTGAACCGGCATCCAACGGTGATATTAATCAACTTTAGTCGATCTATGATCTTGAGCAACCCTTTAAAAAACCGTTATTTATTGAAATATTTCCATAATTATTTATTCTTAAATGATGTGTTTCATATGAACAACACCTAGAAGAAAATAATACTGATCTGAATTACATCATCAGTTTTACTCTCATATAGAATAATATTTATACGAGGATATGTGAATTATTAAACTAGCCATGTAGTTTACAAGTCAATGAAAAAAGGATTACATGATTCGTCATAGCAAAAGTAAATAGAACGAATTAATGATGGGTGAACTGATATTATGGTAAATACAAGAATATTAAGCAGTATGATACCAACATAGCAAGTAGGGCAAAATTTAAGAAGAAACAATTACCTTATTGAAGTAGAAACCATGACATATTTCTTAGTAAGAAGTATGTAAATGATCCCTTTAAATATCCAAATAGCAATGAACAAGGCAGATCATATTGATAAGACGACCTTACGAAAAAATGAACAACGAGAAGTCAAGAGAGGCATCAACTAAGTTTCTTGGAGAAGCATAGGCCGCTCACCAGCATTTTTCATCCAAATCTGTCCTGGAAAATAATTTACAGTTGTTTCCAGTTGCTATTCCTTCTTTCGATGTCTGGTTCCAATTCTCGACGCGAGGTGTTCTTCGGCCTTCCTCTTTTTCGTTTCCCTTCAGGATTCCAAGTTATCGTATGCTTCGTGATGCAGTTTGGTGATTTTCGCAATGTATTAGTATAGCAAAATTGTTAAAAAAACAAACATTTGCGATTACCTTAAACGTACTAGATCGAACGCAATACAACTCTATGATCTATCAGAAGTTTATTGGACAACACTTTTTATTCACTTAGTTTTCGATGTATATGATTGTGTATACGGAAAAAAGCTGTAAAGTAATTGGTTCGAATAGTGGAAACCTTACAAATATATTGTAAACGGAAATGTCAAAAACCGTTTCGTCCTTATTTTCAAGAAGAGAGATAAAACTTAAACGAGAGATATACATCTATCGGTGTTTCGAATGTATGTATTTTAACTAAGTATTCTGGGGGAAGTGAAGCGATACTCATTCTTACATTACAGTTAATAAGAAACTAATCATTCATTTATAAAGATTCTTTATTCATTTTAAAACTGTTTATAAACTCTAAATGAATTGCTTCATCTTCATATATTGTTATCTAATTAAACAGTTTTATTTTCCATTAGAAAACTGTTTAGTATCGTCCATATACTTTTCTTTCATAAAAACTTCATATCGAAGTGCCTGGAAATACTTCACTTTCAGTTTTTCTCTTTAATTATACACAGGTTGAATAATATTCGAAAAGTAAAACGAAACTTAAAAAAGCGCTACTTTGAATAGTCATCATATCATACGTCAGTTTGGAAAGGACAGGAGGCTAAGTGGCCTGTGTTAGTCCTGACAATGATGGTCTCTCAGTTAATTCACCTTTCTTTTGAAAGAGTCGACAGATGGAGATTCAATTACATTTTGAGATAATGAATTCCATTCGTTAATGATTCGATGAGAAATTCGTTAGTCAGCTGACAAGTAATTTATTCTGGATTCTCCTGTCTTCCAAAACAAAGAATTCATGAAGACATTCCAAAAAAGTTCACAAAAATTATCTGTCAACTGACTATAGAATTTCGCATCGAATCATCAATGAATGGAATTCATTACTTCAGCACGTGATTGAGGTTTCACTTGTCGACACTTTCGAAGAAAGTTGGATCAGCTGCGAGACTAGCATTGCCACCAGGAGGCACGAAGGCACCAAATAGATATGTGCCACATGAATCATTCGAGTTGTGTGAGGTCTGGGATACTGTCCGGGTGCCCAAATCGAAGCAGGTGGTTTTCTTAGAAGGCCACACCCCGGGCCGTTGACATGAAGACCTGATCCACAATGAAGTGGAGGAACATCAGGAGATGCAGTCCCATGGTAGCCGGTGACAAATAATTGGTTCATACGTCATTTGTTGCTCCATGATATACTGAAGCCCATGTGCACGACTGGTATGGAATTAGGGTTTTCCAACTTCCCTAGGTAGACCCTCCATATCCACCAACCCGGTTAAAGCACTGGATATTCGCTTTTCATCCTCTCAATTTCGTAAAAACACCTCCGCCTCGAGAAGGCAGTGAGTAGGACTTTCCTGGCAGTGGTTGTATGCACGTGGCCATGTGAGAGCATTTGGAGAGGAAGATCTGACTCTTCCCATTCTCGGTCGTACCAGGGCATTTGGGGCTGCATTGTCAGAACTAATATATGTATATGTGTCTGATTTTAATCATTATAATACAAGAAGTATAGATTCATAACTAGAAAACATGATAAATCTATTAAAATAATATTTACTAAAATATTCCTTACTTTTATATACATATATGAAATGACTGAATCTAATCATATTATATCTAATTGAAAGTGAGATCGAATCATAACGAGTGGAATTCATTACCTCACAACGTGGTTGAGGCTCCATCCGTCGACTCTTTCAAAAGAAAGTTGGATTAACTGAAAGACCATCATTGCCAGAACTAACACAGGCCATCAAGCCTCCTGTCTTTTCCGAATTGAAACTGAATACTTAAGACATAACTTGGCAATGAATTCAATTATTTGAAGATAAAGCTTATTCATCTTAGAATATTCTTACAATATTCAACATTATGATGATTATGATGATGATGATGATGATGATGATGATGATGATGATGATGATGATGATGATGATGATGATGATGATGATGATGATGATGATGATGATGATGATGATGATGATGATGATGATGATGATGATGATGATGATGATGATGATGATGATGATGATGATGATGATGATGATGATGATGATGATGATGATGATGATGATGATGATGATGATGATGATGATGATGATGATGATGATGATGATGATGATGATGATGATGATGATGATGATGATGATGATGATGATGATGATGATGATGATGATGATGATGATGATGATGATGATGATGATGATGATGATGATGATGATGATGATGATGATGATGATGATGATGATGATGATGATGATGATGATGATGATGATGATGATGATGATGTTGAAACAAGTTATTAACATGAAAAACACTTCGATTTACAACAGAGGTATTAATGTTAACATGTGAATTAATTGCTATGCTTATTTGTTTTTTGTTCCGTTCATGTTTGAACAATAATTAAACATGTTCTAGTGAGATATTCTACAATGAAAATGAAATGTAGTCATTATTAATTATATTTAATAGAAATGTGAGAATATTACAATTTACACACACATACACACAAACACAAAAAGAAGACACACAAGTGATATATATCTATAATGCATTGATGATATGATAATGTCGACATTGAACTAGTGTTTTCTTTTGAAATGTCCAAAGTTATCATTCATCTGATGGATTTATTACTTTTTATAACTTGATTTATTCCAGATAAATATTAAATTAAAGTGGAAGAGTGTCTTATATCCACTTGGTGAAGAACTTTGTAGATGCCGGACTTTGAAACCAACAGGATGGATTCCGTAAGAATCGATGGGGTACAGACCAAATTGCAACTCTACGGATCATTGCAGAACAATCAGTTGAATGGAATTCATCACTCTACATCAACTTCATTAACTACGAGAAAGCATTTGATAGCGTGGATAGGATAGCACTATGAAGACTTCTTGGACAATATGTCCAAAGTTATCATTCATTCGATTGATTTATTATTTTTATAACTTGATTCATTCCAGATATATATATATATATATATATATATATATATATCAACTTAAAGTAGAAGAATGTCTTATATCCACTTAGTGACCAAGTACTGTGAAATTATTCAATCGGATTTTCACGAAAGTTCTTATATATAATATTGGTTTAATTTCAATACAAATGTCAACACAGTTCTATTGTATGGAATGGAAAATTGGAGAAATACAAAACCATCATCCAGAACATACAAGTGTTTATTAACAGCTGTCTATGCAAGATACTTCAGATCCGTTGGTCAAACACTATCAGCAACAACCTATTGTACGAGAGAACAAACCAGATTGCAGTGGAGGAAGAAATCAGGAAGAATCTCTGGAAGTGGATAGTACACACATTGAAGGAATCAGCGAACTGCGTCACAATGTAAGCATTCACATGTAACCCTCAAGGTCAAAGGAAGAGTAGAAGAAGAAGAAGATCAGAGAACGCATTACGTCGAGAAATTGAGACAAACAGACAGACAATGGAAGAATGAACAAGAATTGTATAGAAGTAGAAAGGAAGTCAGAGTGGGACATAGCATGTTTGAGAATGCTGGTTGGTGGCCTATACTCCATTGGCAGTAACAGACGTAAGTAAGTAATATTAATTTAGTAGTGATTATTATTGTGGTGTGTGCTAAAGGCGTCGACAGATATAAGTAGTATGTATCATAAATCGAAAGTGAAATGCCTGGACGGAAAAGGTTAGGAATATCAAAGAAAAAAGAACGTGAACAAGGAATAATTGGTGTGGAAACGAAGGGACAATGAAGTCTGAGACGATGGACTAATATTTTGCAAACAAACTATTTACTGTATGATTCTCAGATTTTACTAAGAGATTCTGTAATTTTGTCATCGAGTACAGTTGGTTGTCCCCTCTTGCGTTCTCTTTGACTAAGTTAATACTGCTACTACTAGGACTAGTGTAATCATTACTTGGTGTTTTAGAATAACGATAATTTTCTTTCGATAGAAGACAATAGTAATAATCACAATGACTAATTTCAAGGAACTGTGAAAGATAATAAAACTGTTTGTTATAAAACGATTTTGTCTGACGTCTATACCGTAAATCTATAATCATTCTTCAGTAAACTTTAAACTCCTTCATGGTTTTATTGTGGAGACCTAGTCAAACGTTTAAGCAACATGTTTTTCAATTACGCAAATATTTCAATAAGATTTTCTTGTTTTATTTATATTCTGGTTGATTAACTGTGTTTACCAATCAAATATATTGAAAAACTTAACTAAAACATTTATATCAAATTTAGAAGTTAATTGGTGCGAAATCCAAGTTGAATCACCAGGGTGATTGAATATATTCTCCTTCTCGTCTGACATTAAAAGAACTCAGAAACTACCATATTAGAATTCAAACATTAAGCATATTATGTAATGAAAGCAAAACTGGTTGAAAATGCTTGTCATTAAAGACGAATATCAACTAGTCATTATATGTATGTATATATACTTGTAGGGGCTGGTACTATTTCAAGCACACACATAGGCTATTCTATACTCTGGATATACCAATCTATCCATTCTTCTCAAGCCAAATTTTTACCTTGTCACTTATTCGCTTATTAACCTGACTGTTTCTTATATGATCGTATGTGTTTTAATTACTTACCCTATTCGTTATGTGTCTGTAACTTCTTTTTTGTCTGATAATAAGTATTGAGTCATGCTTGACTAAATCGAATTATCTTACATGCCTTCTCCACCGCGTGTCATTTTGTTTTGCTTCACTTTCTTCTCTTAGCTTTCTTCACTTCGTTTGTTCGATCGTTTGTCTGAATTAACGTTCATATTAAATACACGTATCCAAAACTCCATTCTCGTATTTGACTTATTTTTTATTCCGTTATTCACCAACACGATTTAAGTCGACAATTATATACGAGAATTGGCGATATGTATATATCTATGATAAGTAACAAGCGATCTACCTGGAGTCAAATCTCGGTCCACTAAATACTATATATATTTTGAGGGAGTTTTGTTTTCTGAGTTGGATGGTTTGGTCGTGGAGCTTTCATCGTCCTTCTGAAAGCTCCACGACCAAACCATCCAACTCAGAGAACAAAACTCCATCAAAATCATCCACCTGAGCTACAAATCTTCTCCATCATCTCACTATATATTTACATAACTAATTCTTTATTGTAACTGGAAATATATTATTTTAGTACAGTAATTACTATTACTAATTAGGTGTACTTTCCAATAAAAACACTCAACTGTATAACATATATGTGTATACTTTATTACGTAATCAACAATACATTATATACTGACCGCATGTTATATTTTACTGTTATTCAACAAAGTACTTAATTATCCAATATTAAGTTCATTATAAATGTCATTAAGTAAACATTGATTCAAGATATATCCAGAAAATATTCATATTTGATTCAAGTTTTGTATAAACATTCGAGGTATCAAAAATATTTTCATTTATCTAATATATTATTCGTAAATAATTTGAATCAGATAAGGGTTTTGTAGATATTATGGTAATTTAATAGTTGAATTTATGAGTCAATTGAAGCTAGATCACCATAGAAAACCTGGAAGTCTTAGACGATCAAAAGACATTTCCTGGAGTTCTAGTGAGAAGCAATGACCAGTAGAGTTCAACCTGGCCAGTTATGAGATAGTAACTCACTGAAGACAATGGTGGATGTGTCACTCAGTTTTGTGAATTAGTTGAAGTCAGACATTAACGCCGTTAGATGCAGGCTCAGTGGTTTAGATGTTAAGCGTTTACGCGAGAGAGCGATAGATACTGAGTTCGAATCTCAAGAGACGAGATCGTGGATGCACAATTCTGAGGAGTCTCATACTAGGATGAAACAGCCGTCCAGTGCTTCCAGGTTTTCCATGATGGTCTAACTTCAATTGATTCATGAAATCAACTATTAAATATAGTGAAAATTCCCATTTTGCCATTTGGTAAATAAAGAAGGAACGAATTGAGCGAAGAAATTTCTTTACAATTAGTTTTTCATCATGGCTCTACACTAATATATATACGTTTTACAATAATAATATAATACTCATCGAGTGGATACGTTACGTAATAATTACATAATGACATTTAAATTAACATTGATTAATTGGAAGAAAAAGGATTATTAATATTCAAAGTGATCAAGAAGTTGCTACGTTGCGTAATGTAAGAAACAAAGAAGGAACAGAATTTTAACGGATGGTCAATAGGATGGTAGTTACGTAAGAATCAAGAGATGAATGTTGAGAAGTTATTAATTTCAAAAGCAAAAAAAAACAAGTGGAAGAAGTATGAAAAATAGTTCTTTTGAAGGAAATCTTAAACTGGCGGCCAGGGCAGGAAAAGTGGTTGTACGAATCTCTTTTGAATGCAAAGGTCAGGTTTGTGAACATGGATTGCGATGGCTTCTGCAATGTGCAAGAGGCGCACTCGTAAACCTCTTTTCCACTTCCCTTCACAATTCCAAGTTTGGACTTGATTCGTGATGCAGTTTGATGATTTGCATAATGTATGTCCTATCCACCAACTTCATCGTCTTTTCCTAATTTCTTCTTCAGAGGGAAGTTGGTTTGTTCTCTCTCACAGAAGACTGTTATTGATGGTATCTGGTCAATGGATGTTAAGTATCTTGCGTGGACAACTGTTTATAATTACTTGTAGTTGGAAGTTTCATCTCCATGCAGTAGAACTGTCTTGACATTTGTATTGAAGATTGTGACTTTGATATTGGTTGAATGTTGTTTTGAGTTCCATATGTTCCTCGATCGTAAAAATGCGACCGTTGCTTTGCCAATCTTCGCCTTTACGTCTGCATCTGAACTTCGTTGTTCATCGATGATACTTCCCAGGTATGTGAAGGATTCTACATCTTACAGAGTTTCGCCATCAAGTGTGATTGGATTGTCGTTCTCCGTGTTGTATTTGAGGACCTTGGTTTTCCCTTTGTGTATGCTGAGGCCTACTGATGCAGAGACTGCTGCTACACTGGCTGTTTTTATCTGCATCTGTTCGTGTGTATGCGATTTATTTATTTTTTTGAACACATAAATATTGGTACAAGAGAGAGCCAATATATATGCGCCACACAAAACAATGAGAATTCGAAGAGAAAAAAGAAAAAACAGGTAAGGAGCGTAAAAAAAAAAAGAGAACAATAACGAAGAGGTTGGTGTAAGGTAATGTAGTAATAATAATAGTAATAATGAGGGAATGGAAAGGTACAATCAGAAGAGATATTTCAGTTAAGGAGATACAACCACTTTTTATGAAGAAAGTAAAAGAAGGTTACAGCAGGATCGCCACTGGCTTCTATTCTGAGCCATATCTGATAACGTCTCTAGCCACTGTGTAGC